ATTTTGATCATTACAAAGAAAGTTGTTTTCTTGTATATATATATATATGTTGAGTCATACGTTCTCGGATAATGCCAAATATATTTTATATCATTTGAGATATAGTGAGTAAGCGGCGTGGTCAAATAATGAATTTAGATCAATTGGAAGTGATAAAATACTTTAATTGGCATTAAGGTTTTTAATTAACGGTGTTATTTACAGGAATCTGGATTTCAACAAATTTTTTTAATAAATGGTGTACAAAGGTTGACTCCACATTGAGACTGAAAAAAAATTTTAAATTATTAATTATATGCGTAAATTGATAAAAATTAATATAAAAAAAAAAAAAAAACAAAAAAGGAAAAAAAGAAAAAAACTCTGCAATCAGTAAAAATCATAAGCGATACTACTATGTTTTATTACATGCCATAAGAACTTTATTTAGCATTCAATCCGTATGACTTAGGGATATAATAGAGAGTATACTGTGTATTGTTCTCGAATCTTCGTGATCATGGGATTTTTAACCTTCAGGATATTGAATATTGAAATATGTGCTGCAGGATTATAGCTAAAAAAAATTATATTGAAAAAAATCTAGTGGCTACTTACTATTGGTTACATAATTTCATTTAATTTTAGCAGTTCTTATTGAACTAAGTAATCTAGTGGCATCGCTGCCATAATAAGCACAGAGCAAATAATTTGAGTGAAATTGCTGCATTGTAAATGCTAAATTCTAAATAAAGAAACTGTAAAAGGCATGCATGATCATCTAGTTGCATAAGTTTTATTATTCGAAGTACTCTTGGTAAATAATCTTCATAAGGTGCTGTTGGTACATATGCTCTTGTTTAGGACCACAAGGATGTCGATCTAAGCAATCTAAACAAATGAAAAATACTAAGTGGATTAGACTTTATGGGGAGATTGAAAATCGCAGTACTACAAATCTGTGACCAGACGATCTTGTGTGATCATGTGATGACCGATTATTGTCAATAATGCTTTTTAAAAATAGTGGAGAGTTAATATATGACTATGTAGCTTATATTGCTGAAATGTTTCATGTGCGAAAAATGGAGAGAATAAATTAGTAAAAATAAATGGAAATTGCTAAAGGTTTGAAAGGTATAAAACCTTCTCTTCTGTAATATTGGTATAAAAAGATGATCTTTTCACTTAATAAAGCTCATATTATGTACCTTTCCAAAAGCAATATAATAATGAAGTGAGTCATCTTTACATTAACCATAGCTGCCGCAACAAAATTATCACGGCAGATCCTCGATTTTGATTGGCTAACAACTGAGAATCTTCAAAATTTTGGCCCGCATTACATAATTGTTTACTAATTTCAGACTAGAATTATCCTTTGATTTTTCTTTACAAAAATAGAAATTTTTAAAAAATAAGCCCGCATTATGGTAAGATTGGCCCAAGAATAATTTCATTAGTAAAATTCTGGTCTAATTTTTTGATAATCGCTCTTAGCCAATTAAAATTGAGAATCTGCCGTGACAATTTTGTTTCGGCAGCTATGGTTATTTTGATAGGCGTTTTGATTTTTCTCTAATTTTGAGCAAAGGTATCTCGACAACCATATAGCTAAATTCGATAAAAATTTTTTTATTTGAATTCTATGAATCCATAGATTTCAAATAAAAAGATTTTAGCAAAAAGTTGTCAAGATATTTTCACTCAAAGTTTTTAAAATTTTTTATTATTACTGGGATCTGCATGTCGATTAGTATTAAAAAAGTAGATACAGGAGTATTAAAAATGAATAATTTGTAATATTAGGCTAGTAATACCAGTTTAAAAAGTTTTGTATATTACATAACTATATCTATATTTATATTATATACTAAAAAAAATTGTGTTTAATGATAACATTTAGACTACTAAGTCCATGCAAAGTTAATTAATTAGTTCTTATAACCTGGCCAGGTCAAATTTTGAAATTTTTGTAAAAAATTTTTTTATATGTTTTAATAACCAGGTGAGTTTTTAAAAAACTTTTATAAAAAAATTTTATAAATTTCTATATATATAATAAAAAAAAAGCTGACTGGCTGGGTCTATTTAAAAAGTTTTATATTACAAAAACCAATAAATTAAATTTGCATGGTCTAATATAATTAATTTTATTAAATTGTATTATATTGAATTTATTATTTTAATTTCTTAAATTTATACAAGTTATTAAGTAAAAATAATTTCAAGATCTAGATAAAGTTGTAGATAGAGGTAGGAACTAGTTGATATAATTCAACTTTAAATTTGGTTTAGATTGGGTTTAATAGTAAATCAGTTTATAATATTGTAATTCAGTTGTAAAACTCTGATAAACCGGTTTGAAAGTTAAAATTCGGTTTTATTTTAACTTCAAAATTGTGCTAGAAATCTAAGCAGTAATATATTATTTCATAAATCAGTGATCACTTGTTATTACATTACTATATCATAGATTTGTAATTGCTTATCATTACATTACTATAATATAAATTTGTAATTTCTTTGTTATTTCTTAATTAACAATATAAATTAAGGTGTATTAATTGTATAAACTGTTTTAATAAAATTAAAAAAAAAGGATCCAATTTCTTCTAGTTTAGAAGCAATACATTGTTTAGAGTCTTTAAATTTATTAGATATTCAACTTTCTGATTCTTCATTTGTGAATAATGCAAAAACACAAAAAAAAACAAAAGACTAAGCAAAAACTATAAATAAATCAAAGTTATATAACTTATTTTTTTAAAAAAAGTAAAGCAAATTCCCAAATTGTCTTTTGTAAACTTTGTATAGCTGATGATTATAATCAATCTTACCCATATATAAAAAAGAGTGAAAAAACATCTAATTTAATTAATTATTTACAAGACAAGCATAGAATTACTAAAGCAAATTATCTAGAACATCTAGATATTGATAGTGAAGTAATTAAGATAATTTCAAATATTTTATAGAAGTAAAAAAATTTTAATATTAATATTTTGATTGTATATTTT